AGTCTTTCGGTCAAAGTTTCCCTACAAACGTCACGCTGATCTTCTCAGCTGGAGTAAAATGTGCATTTTATCTGAAAGCTGGAGTCGTGCATTTCATATGAAGCTGTCAAATCACAGCCCTTTCAGAACAATGTGTCCAACCAGTAATTAGATTTCACCAAGTGGGGAAAGAACAAAAACTTGGCATACACTGAAATCCTGCTGATCAATGCAAGAAAATTATACTCTGCTGTTTTCTCACCTTTGTTGCTGGAATGTGACAGGATCTGTTGGTGTGCTGGAGGCAGGCTGTTTGGGTTATTTTACATAAGTAGGTTCATGTTGTTTTCTCAGCCCACCCCTGCCTCTTATTAGCATTCAATCCGAGTGTGGTTGCGTTGAAGGAGTTTTGTTGTTTTTTTTCTTGATACTTTTCCAAATAACTTGATTCGTGTGTGGCAGGTTACGCATCTCCTCTGACACCCTGCTGTCTTTAAAGGGGTTCGATAGATCTGATTACCTACTTATTAACCGCACCGAATCACTCAAGTTTGTAGTTCAACTGGTATTATTGATCATGCTTCACTTACTCTGTGCATGCTTGCTGGGTGGATGCTGGCAGCTGACGCTGGTTGACATTCTCAAACTCCTCCATGGATCTAGCGACTCGGAGCGTCGCTAAGCCATGCGCGGTTGGCTTGCATCCACTCGGTAAAGTAGGTTAACTGAAGGTGGCGAGGGAGGAAATGGTGCCAGGATGGAAGAATAGCTTGGTGCTTAATTGTCGTCAGATTAAATCGCAGAGGTAATTTTGTGATAAGATGGATGTTGTGACCCACTTTTCAGCTGATTTGAGTGACGGCCTTGATTAATAATAACTTAATCAAATTTGCATATGTGGAAAAACAGATGGATGATAACAGTCGGCTATGACCTTGATTGGTTTCCTGATGTCGCGTGAAACAAACATGGTAAACTGTTTGAAACGGTCCTACAGCAGCTGCCTAAAATTAACCAATGTCAGCTGAAGGGAAGTTCAGTGTGGGTAAAGTCTTTACCTGAAGCACTCCAACTCAACAGTAACCTTTCTAAATGTTACTGTATTACCCAGATTGGGGGGAGCTCTCATTTTCAAACTTCCAGCACATTTATGAAAAGCTTCCTGTAGCTTTCATGTGCTCTGAGCAGGATGCCAACTATTGATGACTGGTAAGTATAAAACATTTAAACACATTTACAACAACAAAAGTTTATTCTTAATTAGGTCTCTGCTGACTTTCTTGCGGTCAGAGCAATCATTTGTGTGTCAGCTGAATATTTATGAAAGGCCTAGTAATCTGCAATAACATTAATGGGTTCCCGTGGCAACAGAAATGTAATGCACGTTGTGTTACTGTGAATATTTAATTTTTCATGTGCAGAGCAAAACTTCAATTTGCTCTTAAAAATGAGGTTAAACAGACTAAAGCTCTTACTCCCTGTTAGGGCCACACCAAAGGCATGAGCTGTTGCCTTGTATATAATCAACTACTCGCTAGCTAAATAAAGCGCTGGAGTTTACTTGAGTGGCTGTAACCAAAACCCAAGTCTACACCTATCAGAGTGATGTTGTTTTCAGCAGAAACGACTCGAGACGAGCACAGACTAAGGCTCAGCTATGGACTGTTAGATTTTGATGTGGAATTAAAAGACCACTGATTTAATTTGAACTGAGATTAGCCAAGTGTTCAGTGACACAACTCAGTGATCACGATGTGTCCTTACTGTTGTGTATATACACCAATCAGGCGTAACATAACCAACACAGACAGGTGCTCATTAACCTTCTGCTGCCACAACAGCCCTGACCCATCAAGTCGTGGACACCATTAGATCTCCAAAGGTGTGCTGTGGTATCTGGCAACAGACCCTTTAAGTTGTGAAGTGGGGCCTCTATGGATTGGGCTAGTTTGTCCTGCACATCCCATATTTGTTTGATTGGATTTAGAGCTGAGGAATTTGGAAGCACTACTCAACAC